ACTGTTCCCATCTCTGGGCTGGGGCTTCCCCAGTACCAGCTCCTTCCACTTGACCGCATGCAGCACAGAGCGGCTCGAATCGTCGACGACCGAGTGCTTTCCGATCGGCTCGATTCACTGGCACTGCGAAGAGATGTTGCATCTCTTTGCATTTTATTTTGCATATACCATGGAGAGTGCTCTGAGGAATTGTTCGGATTAATCCCAGCCGCCAAATTTCGTGAACGCACTACGCGGCAAACGTCCTGATACCATCCACACCATCTGGATGCTTGGCGGTCCACCACAGTACGTTTTTCAAAAGGAGTTTTTTTCCGCGTACAACCTCTCTGCGGAATTGTTTACCACCGGCGATTTTTCCGGACCGAAACGACCTGGGGACCTTCAAGAAAAGAGCTTACTCCTTTCTAAAGGGCCGGCAACGCACCTGCAATTCCTCTGGTGTTGCGGTTGATCATGGGCGGCGGTAGTCACTTAAAATCAGGTGAGCCGCATGCTCGTTTGCCCTCTCTTCTATATAAAAAAGTATAAATAAATTAGGGTACAAAAGTGGATAACCCGGGTACACACCATACTGTTTTAAATACATATATCTCACAAATTTGTTCTGAAACGTTCTAGCATTAATTTATATTTGACTTCATGTGGTGACCAAATAACAGAATTACATTCTAAATGACTTTTTACGAGTGCCTCGTATAATGCTCTCAGAGCACAGAGGTTTGTGAATCTGTTGGCTAGCCGTAAGACCATCCCTAGGTTGCGGTATGCTTTTTTACAAACATTAGTAATGTGTTTTCGAAATTGTATGTCGGTAGTGAATCGCACGCCTAAATTATTAACCTCAAAAACTCGTAGCAGAGGGGTTCCATCCATATAGTATCGATGATGACTCGGGTTATGTGCACGGCTGAATGATAGAATAGAACATTTTGCCGCGTTGAAATATAATTTATTTTCCAAACTCCACTCTACGACTTTCGTTATATCCTGCTGTAGCATGTCATGATCCGCCCGATGCTTTATTTTTAAAACTAATTTCAGGTCATCAGCAAATAACAAGGGTGTAGACTTATTGACTACTTCAGACAAATCGTTGATTGTCAGAATAAAGAGAAAAGGCCCTAAATTACTGCCCTGACTGACACCTGACCTTGTAAAGTAGGGTTCGGAAAGCCGTCCGCTGCAGTCAACATACTGACATCGGTCTTGTAAATAACAGGCGAAAAATGATAGCGTATGCGGTGTGCAGCCGACGCTAGCCAACTTCGCTAGTAGGACGTCATTGTCTACTGTGTCAAATGCCTTTTTAAAATCAAAATAGGCAACATCCACTTATTGGCCAGCATTCACCGTTGGTACTATGTGTGTCATTAGCTCGAGCAAGTTCCCCGTTGTGCCTCGCCCGGGACGGACGCCGTGCTGTGCGTCGGACAATAGAGCACTTATTTGTGGGTACAAACTACTGTGAATGGTCGACTCAAAATCTTTAGCTGGAGTGCAACCTCTGCTACCTTTCGGCACGGGTACTACCCGAGTGAGTTTCCAACGATCAGGAAACTTTGGAGCCTTAATACAAACATTGAATATGTGTAGCAACGGCTTTACTAATACTGCACTACAGTCCCTAAAAATAAACGCAGGAATACCATCGGGCCCCGCCGAAGACTTCGGCGGTAAACGCGCAAGTGCGCGCCGTACGTCATCGGGACGTAAGCACGCGAGATGCGCCCACGCACCCTGCGCCGCACCCGTCGCCGCACTTATGCTTGCCGCCACCACGCTCAGCTTAGGAGGCGTCGGATTGTAAACCGACTGGAAGAACCGAGCGAACTCATTGGCACATTCTTGTTCTGATAGTACCCGTCCGTCATTGATTAACCTTCGATGATTCGAATCGCCTTTCCTAGATCTTATGTACCTCCAAAACGCTCGTGTATCCTTTGCCAAATGTCTCTGCACGCGGTCGCAGTAATGGTCATGTGCTCGTGCAGTCTCGGCTTTAACTCTTGCCCTACATCGAGAGAACTCCTCGTAATCATTGCGCGCTTTGCTAGATTTATATTTTTTATGTAATTTATATTTCAGCTTTATATCCTTAATTATTTCAGGCGTGTACCAAACCGGATAAGTATATCTCCTATTGACTGAGTTTATATATTTTATATATTGTTGTGGCCTTGGAACAGTCCCGATAAAATATCCTTTTCCTAAGTATTTTCTATCCTTCCGCCTTTCCTTTATACGCACTACTCAAGAATGGTGCGCCACCTACTGTCTAGAAAAAGAAGAAACAAGATGGCCGCGTACGCATAAACCGTGTTCGTTACCGCTCGTTTAAAATAACTCAATAAATAAAGTTGTAAGACTATCGTGCAATTGTTCGTGTCCACATCCGAAGTGCAATGTGGTGTCTATGTATACATTAGAAATTCAGCATAAATATTTTAGACCTCACCACAACCACGAGGAGTGCTCCAGTCTTATGAGTATCCTTGCCTTATCTACTCAGTTCTAAAGCTATTTAAGTTTACTTCCCGGTTGAGATCATCGGGTTAGCCAGCCTTTGGTCTGGTTGTTCTCTGGTTCCCAAAAGCACCCACGAAGGACTTTGCAAAACATTCAAGCCGTAACATTAATTTCTGGTCCATACGATCCAGGTACCTACGGATTTATATTTTTATACAGTCCGCTCCTTATTAAGATAATATCAAGTTCAATTTCAAAAAATAATTCGTTAAAACTGGCTCTGTTTCCTAAAGAAAAATTGATATGAAAGCGTTATCTGCATTTGATGATAAGTACTACGAAGTTCTAAGTTTTGCCTCGGTGACGTCCTTACCGGAGCGCAAACAAGGCAGCAGCTCAACGTCCGCTGACGTTAACCACACCATTACGCCCGACACGGAAAAGGTACAAGCTAAATTGCCACAAATTGAGCTTCTAAAGTTCGACGGAAAAATTGAGCATTGGCAAACATTTTACGATACTTTCGTATTCTTAATTCATAATAATAAATCAATCGCGAATATTACAAAATTTCATTATCTCTTTTCTTGCTTATTGGGACCCGCTTTAGGGATCGCAAAGAAGGTACATCTAACGTCCGATTAGCTTGTTTTCAATGAACTTGTTAAGCTTTATCAAAACAAGCGCATTTAAGCCGTGGCGTATTTCGATCAAATAAATAACTATTCTTATTTAAAAAATCCTAATTATAATATATACAGCTTGAATACCGGCATAGCCTGAAACGCGGGTGCTTTGAAAAATTGTAACATCAAAGAAATTGTATAAATTAAAAAAAAATGTATTTACAATATAATCATCGCAGCTCAATGCATGTTATTCTATGTATATTCCACTTTCAGGTACTTCCAGACTACCAAACGCTCTGAAATGATCCGATAATTTGCAGATGTATTGTGAACCAGTCTCTATATGATAATTTCAGGGCTATGAAATTATATAGTATTCTCGCTCAGATTGTCAAAGCTGGTCAATGCGTAGCATTTTAGTTTTTTTTAAATCTACTTTTATTTTCCGTACATTTCGGGTACCACAGTATTATATTAAACCATAGATAACTAATAAAAAGGGGGCAACTTATTAAGCAGTTGATTATTTAAACACTAATTGATTAAGCTGCCTTATAAAGTACAAGATTAAAATAAAGCTCATAACTCTTTAGTATAATCCATTTTCTTTTTACTTTTGTATTGTCCATTTTGCGTCATTAAAACCAAATGACACTAAATGAACCTGTGAAACAATCTTGGACCATAGGATATTTTTGTACATTTATGTCATAGAGTAATAACACAAATTAGAAGAGTACTTTTATGTATAAAGTACTCATACTCGTAAGTATTGACTACTTTATAAAACGTAAAAGATGACTTCAAAAAACTAGCTTCTCAAGTCAGTGCTGTAAAATAGTGTAAAGAATAGAAATATTAAATTCCTGACGTCAAAAGCTTTTGTCTAGGAAATAATTTATTACCATTACTCATTTGGATTAAGCTTTCACTGTTTCATTATCATCATCATTACAGCCCTTTACAAGTCCACTGCTGAACATAGGCCTCCCCCAAGTAATGCCACAAAGCACGGTCCTGAGCCACCTGCATCCATCGACTTCCTCCATATCTCACCAGGTCGCCACAGCGTCTAGTGGGGGCTCACCCTACACTTCGCCCACCGGTAAGAGGCTGCCACTCGAGAAGCATTTTCCCTTTTTATATTATATTATTTTTTGGTTGTCGGTTCTTCGAGCATATAGGCCGGCCCATTGCCACTTCAGCTTAAAGCCGTAGTCCGTTGGGCTATGTCGGTCACTTGATTCTACTGCGGATAGCCTCATTTCCAAGTTTATCACGCAGAGAAACCCCGAACAACCTTGAGCTCCCTCATACGGCCAGCAGTGAAGGACCACGTCTCAGATCCGTAACTCATCACTGGCAACACGCATTGGTTATACAATCTAGTTTTCAGGTTTTGAGGTATACCTAACGAGAAGATGTGTCGTAATTTCCTGAACGCTGCTCAGCCGAGTTGAATCCGTCGATTGACCTCTCGGTCGAAGTTGGACTTACTTAGTCGGACTTTTTCTCCCAGGTAAACGTACTCGCCAACAACTTCGATCGTAGTGCTACCAAGAACTACCGGCATAGGTGTGACATGGACGTTACAAATAATCTTCGTTTTGTCCATCTTTATCTTAAGATCTATCCGTTGGGAGATACTATTAAGGTTATTGGGCATAGTGCTTTAGTCCGCCAGCGATTCTGCCATAAGGACCATATCATCGGTAAATCGAAGAAGACTGATTTTAAATTTAAAAATATAATATAAGGTACATAATATTTAGATTAAAATAAAATAGACATAACTACAATGATCAAGAAGCTTAGCAGTTTTTAACCAATTTTAGAAAAGGAGCCCGAACATTCATCTTAAATGTAAGTTCGTATTAGTATTTATAAGATGTTATTTTTTAGATACAACAGCTATGCAACTTTAATGGAACGTATAATGACATAACCAGATCTGTCTTCCCATGGATAACAGCGATTTTCTTGAAAAACGGCACAAGCGATCAATTCGAGTATTATTGCGACGGTGTGCTGTTATCAGATAGATTTATTCTCACGGGTAAGTAAGCAACGAGTGAATATACCTGCTATATTAGCTTAGAGACTAAGCGCTCGTTATAAATTTTACCGCACTCAAGCAAACTTCTACTCTGAACTGCTTCGAATCCCATCAGCACCAATGAGAGTGTTCTTTCAAACTTTAAGTGCTGATTTACCACGTGCTCAGCAGTAAAAACATCGTTAGGGAAATATGCATGTCTGTAAAATTAAAAAGTATTTCATAGACGCATTGGGGCAGTGTGGTGGACTTTTTCTCGCTTTATGGAATAAAATAAGCCAACTACGGTATAGTTTCCTTATTTGTCACGCTGGATGGGTTGGTAACTGAATTTTTTTTTAAATATTTTGAGTGGTTATCGGTGATTTGAGTCATATGGATGATAAGTGAGGGCACATTTAATATGATGGCAAGTGAATGAATAAGTGAATGATAATTTTTATAGTTTTTCTATGTAACGCAATATCTTCACTAACTGTGAACCGATTTCGATGACTATTTTTTTTAAATTAAATCAGTTATAGTTTAGGGAGTACTGAAATAGAATACCTTGTTTACAGTAAAGAGTGTCTCCTGGTCTCTACACTCACCATACAAAACACAGCAGCATTAAGTTGCCGTTTTACGCTGGTATTCTGTGAGAGCGCGATTCCATTTTTAAGCCGACTCATTCGTGCTGTATCTATATAATATAAGTGTGTGGTGGATCTACCAAATGAAATGCGTGCATTTTGATTACTAATTAAGGAAAGATGTATATGTCTTTGGGCCTTTTACGATATCCGCGGGATGATAAGGGGCAGTATACATATTGATTCAGTAGATTTAATTAATAAAAAATTGTGATTTCAGCTGCTCAATGTGTTATTCAAAACAATGCTACTGTCGACGCTGAAAATATCATCGTTTTATTGGGAAAGAAGTCATTGCTAGCATTGGCAGAGAACGAGAAGGCTGTTAAGGTGAATTTAATAGACTAAATATGAATGCAGTTCCAACCATATTTAAATAAATTAATATATTATTTACAATATTCCGTTATAAATAAGAATGTATAGGAATATACGCGAAATTGTACATTGCTACTCATCTCATGATTTAAGCAATTGCTATAGAGCTTAACGTTTATACTGATTGCAACTCTTTTATCGGTGAAGCTGACAACCCAAAACGTCATTCGTACCGTCTAGGTCTCTTTTTCATATTTGTGTTTTGGTAGGATACAAATACCAGTACTAAATATAGTGGACGCTAAAAGGATTGTATAGCATTACTAGATTGTTAGCATACTTAAATTATATAGCAATCATAAAGTCACCTTAATTTTGTGGTTAAAAGGAAGGGATTCGAGAATCATTTCGACACATCAATAAGGTTTTACAAATAACATCCAAAGCGTAGGTCCAAAAGTATAAAGGTTATATTAGGTATGTTAGTGTTTCGATTGTTATTTTTTCTGTGCAACTGCCTTATATTGCTCTAAGGTTATCGAGCAGAGTATTAGTATTGTGTAGGGTTTAAGCAAACAACAAATATAAGGTCTGTTTATTAATATTATTTTTCTAATACAGATAAGGAAAATAATACTTCACGAATACTATACGAACAAAAACGAAAAAGTCGAGAACGATCTCGCAATTCTCGAAATAGAAGAACTGATTTCATTTAACGATGCAGCACAACCAGCATGTGTTTTGATGGATGAAGCATCAAAGGATTTAATTGAAGACAATTTAGAAATAGCTGTAAGTTTATTTAACTTTGCCGTGTATAAGCTGCGTAAGAGAATCTACTTTTATATAAAAAATTTCTAATGTTAATAACAATAGTGGAATATGCATGATTTAATTTTTTTTATATTTATATATTTATTGATCTCTTAATTTTTGTATTCATTTATTCCTCATTTTTAGTGTCTATTTTTTAATGATACACTTATTTCTTTTTTTATTTTTTGCAAAATTGTATTTTAAATAAATAACAATAATGTCCCCCAGATTGAATTTCAGTTACTGTGACCAGCCTCAGCGGAGAATAACTATCTGCGCAGGTCAAGATTATGGTGCCCAAGGTTTTTTTTTATATTGAAGGAGGGTGACACGCTTACAAATAGTCCACCTGATGGTAAATGAATGATGTGGTCTAAAGACACATTTCCTAGATAAAGAATCAAAATGCAGATCCGTTCTCAACTCTGAGGACTAAGATGAAATACCTCGTTAACACTCGTGAACGGAAAGAGATCAGATACTTCGCCAACTTCCTGAATTCGGGCTGCTACAGAAAAATTATTGACAGAATTTTTTTATTTTCTGTCATTAATTTTTCAGTATCAGAATTTAAGCCATAGTAGCCTAATGGCAGGGCGCGGACCGCGAACTCAAAAAGTTCGTGGATTCGAATCCACCATTCGACTACTGGCGTGAACCACTCGTAACACAAGCAATTTAAGCTTATCACGAGTGGCTAAGGGGAATATTAGTAATGTTTATAGTATTTTTAGTATTCTTTTTTTTAAATCCCAATAACTGATTTCGCCTCAACCGTTTAAGACCTCATGATTAGCAATAATTTTAACGACCACTAGACTAACGAGGCAGCTATATCATCCCGTGGGCGGCGTAATAGGTGACCGAGAAAAACTGAAACAAGAGACTAGTAGCTGCATCTTCCTTTAAATAGGAAGAAAATAGTAAAACACTCTGGCGCCTGCCGAGTATGAAAACTACGTAAACTATCCCTCTTTTGGGAGGGCCTACGTTTAGCTGTCGACTTCTGATCTGATTAATAAATAAATAAAACTATGTAAAATATCCCTCTTAGGGGAAGGCCTATGTTTAGCTGAGTCTGATTAATAAATAAATAAAACTTAAAGGATGGGGATACGTTAGTGTTCTGCAAATTAATCACGATTTAATAGAATTAAGAGAGACAATCAAGCAACCTACATACTTAGTGAATGCTGTGGCCCATAGATAACTACAACCTATCTTCGATTTTGTTTATCAGAAGTTTTACCTTTTATTCTTTGGTCGTCATTGACTTACTATCGGCTTGACTGAGTACTCCTTCGTTTCGTCGCCTTTGTTTGTATAAAAATACTATGGTGAAGCTGGTTTGATAGTTACACAACACTTCAGACATTCAGACAATATGTTCACAGATGTTAGGTGTGTTAGCACACGCGACCTTGTTGGTATCCGTACAACAACTGGCTCAAAAAAAAACTGTCGAGTAAAGTGCCGACGCGCTTCATAAAATTGTGATTTCTCTTGAAATGGCTGCGTATGAATATGTACTGCCCTAAATCATCCCGAGGATACAGTAAGAGACGAAAATGTAAACACAGAAGCGAAAGATGAGCAGCAGTATCTTACTGATAACAAGCGAAATTAAAAAAAAAACTGTAGTTGAAAACCCGGCTGTCAAGAGCAGCAAACAAGGCAAAATCCCCCCGTTATGTCAATACAGGCAACCTATGGGCGTAAGACTATGAAAATTCAATCCAATTACGATTGGCTAGTGCCATTTCACTGTTACTATTCTACATAACAAATAATATCACATTACATAAACACTTACGCCTGTCACCCAGAGGAGTAGGCAGAGACTATAGACTTCCACTTGGCACGATCCTGACACACCTCTCTCGCCTACTCCACGTTCATATACCTACGCATACATGCTCGTTGGTTAAGGGAACTCCTAATTTTGACCCAATTTCAATATATCGCCAATTTGGTCCATAAACTTTCGCCTAGGACGCCCTTTCCGACTCTTCTATTCGTTCTGCAATGTCAATTTGCTTTGTCACTCTTTCCTCATTCATTCTTTCTACACGACCAAACCTCCAAAGCATTTCTTTCTTAATCCTGGTAACAACATCATCTTGCAAACATAACAAATAACAAATATTTAATGTTAATTTCAGACAACCGGTTGGGCAGTTACTGGTGAATTAACTTTTGTGCCGTTCGATAAAGAAAAAAGTAAAAATTGTAACAACGGTTCTAGATTGGACGATGTCTTTTGTGCAAATTATAATAATGGTGAGTTAAAAGTAATTTACTTTTTACGTGACTACACTCTATAAGGAGGATAACGTTTTTCAAGTTTATGCAAGTAAAAAAACTATACGCTATTACAACAAAATTCCAGAAAAACAAGGTCTCTTTGTCACCAAGTTAAAATATTTCGTTACACTAAAATTTCATAAAAAGAGTTTTTATAATTTAATGGAATTCATAATTGTTAATAACCTTTGGAGACGAGGTGGTCGCTTCCAAATTTTTCTTAAATCAGGTTTGTAAGTAATTTGTATAAACTGTGTTTTTATTGTATAATTTTACTTTAAAAAGAAGAAAGAGCCGTGGTAGCTCAGATGGTTAGCGCTTGCTGTAAATTTCACAGTATGCGAGCAAACCGGGTTCGATCCCCGCCGACATTAATGAAATTGTTAATTGTAATTTTAAGTGCTGATTTACCACGTGCTTGGTGGTGTAGGAAAATATCGAGAGAAAACCTGCATGTCAGAGAAATAAGAAAAAAATATTTAGAAGACATGTGAAGTTCGCCAACACGCATTGGGGCAGCGCGGCGGAAAATTCCTTGCCCTTAAACCCTATCAGGAATGAGCTGAGGCCTGTGCCCAGCATTTCTATTCTCTTCTACAATCTTTATATATTTTAGGTTTTTAAATGTTATCACAGTAAAAACACTAACGTAGTTGAGCAGTGATTCCCACAGGCAATAATTCTCACCAGAGGTGTCCTACACGGGACGATTATCGAAACGACTAAATTGTCAGTTACCAAAATTGTCGCATTAAAAAATTCATTCCCAAAATTATACAAGACCTATCACCTATGTAATGAAAAAAAAGTCTTCAAAAATCTCAATTGGTAAAATGTTGCGTAACACACACACATACATAAAACTTATAGTCTAATTTTAAATGCTCCTCCATTTTGTATCCGGCTAAAATTTTTTACGATATCATGCTACTGTTACCGTTACCATTTTATCTTTATTTTCAATAACCTAAGTCAAAAATACATTATTTGCTATGTTTAAAGATTCCTATATCTGTTTTACAACATACATTTTAAACTACAGTTTTAATGTGATAATAAATTAAAAACAAAGTATGGATGCAGTTTTTACTTTTGTGTAATTTAATATTTATGAACATTTGAGTGTGTAAGTGTATGCATGTAAGGGATTTGTTATTAAGTGTGTGTGTGTGTGTGTGTGTGTGTGTGTGTGTGTGTGTGTGTGTGTGTGTGTGTGTGTGTGTGTTACGTGTGCTGCGTGCGTGTGCGTGCGTGTGCGTGCGTGCGTGTGCGTGCGTGCGTGCGAGTGTGCGTGTGTGTGTGTGTGTGTGTGTGTGTGTGTGTGTGTGTGTGTGTGTGTTTTGTGCTAGGGCATAGAGGGCATGGATGTGGAACCTATGTTTTTTCAAGAACACGATCTTTGAAGTGCGCGTTGCGTACGTACACAGGAATCCAGTAAATCATAATAGAACGTGCAATTCGCAGAATATAGTAATATTTGGTGTGCGTGGACGTACCATGAGAGTCTGTCCTCAATCAGTACTCCCAGATATTTTGAGGAATACACTTTGGCAATAGTAGGAGTGTTACAGCTTGAAAAGTTTAGAAGACGGCAATTATGTATCCTGCGACTGTAATCCGATTTTGGTTGCGTTATATTGCTTATAGAGAAACACATAAATGATTGTATAGAGAAACACATAGTTTATTGAATTCACCGAAAGTAGTTTTAACCTTAGTCATAGAAAAATGGTAGAAAGTGCCGATTTTGCATTTCTTTTTATAGAATCCCAGGAGTTTCCAGTAATTCATATAAAAAAAAAGATTAATACTCCCACAATCTGTTGTAGTATATCGCCTTATCCATGGATAACGAAAAACATAAAATTTATGAGGAGATTAAGTGATGAAGCACATAACAAGTTTCGCTCTTCGCAGTCACCTAACCATAAAACTTATTATAAAGAAATGAAGCATCAAGTGAACTTGCTCACGCGTACGCTCGCCCAGTAGTCTGATAATTTTGGCACACAGTAATAGATTAGCAAAAAATGTGGTGTATAAAGAAGTTATTTTAGTTTACTAGTGACATCCAGTTATAGTTGTGGCTTGTACCAGCAGACTCTTTTACACACAGGGGCGCGATATTACCGAACTTCACGCAGACGAAGTTGCTGGCAAAAGGTAGTTATTATATAAAATTATATTATAATCATACTATAACTTAAACATAATATTTCTAAGTAATATTACGAGAAAAAAGCTTATTACAATTTTTTATTAACAGCAACATTGGTAACCCAAAGAAATTGTGGTCAAATCTGAAGGCATACTCTTTACCGCCAAAAAATTATGCAGAATTACCTTTTAAATTATTGGTACCTGACTTAATTAATGCTCATTTTCTTAATACTCCATGTACTAATATTGTAACAATATCGGAATTTACGTATTTCGAGTTTAATAGAATCAGCCCTGGGAATTTTTCACTTAAAACGTTAGTCAGATGATATTTCAGAAATAATAAGAATACTTAAATCTAATGCACAAGGAGTAGGTTGTATTACACTTAATATGTTATTGATGACTCTCCTACGAAGCTTGGATACAATAACTGCACTTATCAAACAGTTAGTACATATTCTCCGAAATCTGGAAAAGATCCCTAATACGTCCCATCAATAAGTAAGGGAATCCTGATGATTTCAAAGATTAAAGGCCCATAAGCTTACTATCATGCTTATCGAAAATTCTTAATAAAGTGGTATATAGTGGTTTATCAGCAAGTAACAGCTTATCTTGAAGACCATTCCATTCTACCTTATCTGCAATCAGGTTACAGAAAGGGCGAAGCACTGCAGCTGCGTTTTCTGCTTTCTTTCTTAGTCGGCAATATATTGGAGGCTCAAAATATGCGTCAGGGAACTGTGCTCGTCCTATTCTAGGGCATTTGGTATAATAAGCATGATGTTATTTTTATCAAAAATGGCATATTACAGTTTATGATTAATCGCAAGACAATTAAATGGTTCTGGAATTATCTCAGTGGATATTCACAGTAAATAATACCGAAAAAAGAAAAAGGTCAAAAGTATATATCATCTCCTCAGCATATTACAAGAGTTGTTCCTCGGGGATCGATTCTGGGTCCTAAGTAATATGTAAGCAGACGATACTCAATTTTATACCTCTTTCAAGACCATGCATACTTTGGAAGCTATACGGAGCCTCAATGAAGGTCTCGATGGAGTACTGAAGTGGTCGGAAAAAATAATCTAGTGTTGAACGCCTCAAAGACGAAGTTTTTAATTTGTAGTACTAAACAACAAATAGAAAACATAAATTATTTCAATCCAAAGGTATATATAAGAGAAATTATTTTAGAAAGAGTGAAAAAGACCCATAAGTTAGGAGTTATAATTAGCCCGACCTAAGATTCAAGACCTAAGATTCAAAGAATACATTGCTGGTACTGTTAGGAACTGCTTCTATCGGTTAAAAATATTGTACAGAATACGTGAATATCTAAGTATCGAACTACGTAAGAGATTATATGACGCACTTTTATTATCAATACATAATTATTCTGAGACTGTCTACGGGCCATGTCTGTTGTCGCGCACCGGACACCTTATTCAACGAGTCCAAAATGCTTGTGCAAGGTTCAGTTTTGATGTGCCACCAAGAGGTCATTTAAGCCCATTCCCTAATGATAATAATATCCTTAAGTTATCCGTAAGACGCAAACACCACTTTGCTTGTGCTCTATTCGGTGTTTTAAAAACAAAAAATCCAAAGTATCTGTACTCTAAACTAGATTGGTATCGTCAACACAATAAGTATCTAACGCGTGTTTCCTCTCACGTATTAATTGTCCCTCGACATAGTTCCTTGGCCTTCAGAGGTATTTACAAATATACAGCTACCCACTGCTAAAATAATATACATACCTCCACCATTACGTAATCTAAAGACATTTAAAAAATTTTAGTTTAGTATTACTCATCATAAATTTAATTTACACATTTAATGATAATTTAATGATTATCAAGTATTTATTACTCTCTGATTATCATCATCATCATCATCATTACAGCCCTTAACAAGTCCAATGCTGAACATAGGCCTCCCTCAAGGTATGCCACAAAGCACGGTCCTATATATATATATATATATATATATATATATATATATATATATATATATATATATATATATATATATATATATATTAATCTATATCTCTGTCATTTTTAGAAAAAAATACTTGCCCACATAAAGTTGACCATACAAACTTGTTCGGGGCCGTCTGAAAATCAGCGATGCTAGCTCGCGGCTTACGCTGAGACGATCCCTTCCACCACTTCATTATAGCACATTGTATAACATATATAATGGACGCATTTATTTCCTTTAGTCTAATTTCCTGTTTTTTTTTTATTAATAAGTCACTTGTTATATTTATAACTATAATTGTCATGGGTTAAGTAGATGTAAGTGTTGGAATAAATTTCTTCATATCCTAATGACCATAGCAGTATCATCGGTGTAAGAGAAATTATTAGTATAGTTTATTGACATGCACTAAAGTTAGTTAATGTAAATGCGGAATTAGATTGGCCCAAGAAGTGAACCCTGTGGTAAAACAAAACAAAGGTTAAAAAAGGTAATATGTTAACGGTTACAGCCTATTAAAGTCCCCTGGTGAATATAGGCCTCCACCATAGATTGCCCAATAGAGGGATATTCGCCATAGCTGTCACATTTGGCAAGCGAATTGACAACCGCAGTTTTTTCTAATTTTAAGTCGTTACTAGGAAGACACTGCTGCCCCTCTGCTGATTTGTTACTCTCTGTCGCCTCTTATAACACTCACGGGATCACATGGAATAGTGGTTATTCCTACACCGTCTATACACGGTAATATCATCCCACATGTACAATCATCATGCGACATTAACATCTTATAACAGATCGCTACAATATTTGTCTCGTTTATCATGTCTGTTTCCAAGAGGCGAAGGCAGAGACTACAGACTTCCGTTAGCACGAACCTGACACACTAATTTCGCTTCGCTTATATTCAATTATCTACGGATACATGTTAGTCAGTTAAGGCCACTGTCACTAGTCAGAAATGTATAAGACATTATTTAAAACACTATTAAATGTTTTAGATGTGACAGTCTGCCCCAGCTATGGAGGTGTCTTTGTGAGCAGAGCTATAGACAACATTTGGTACCTACGTGGCCTGCGCACTGGTGATCCCACACAAAAGTCTTTTTGTATCAACACTGGAATACTCTACACTCATTTGCTTAAATATATAGAATGGATTCAGATTTATATGTAAAATTAAAATTGATGAAACACACCTAACCGTTACTTGTTTAGTTTACTCAACCAATTCTAAATACACAGACCTGCAATGAGAAGCTCATTTTTTATGGAATTGAAGTTACAATCAAATTTACAGTAACTCATAGTAAGTTACTTCTGTAGCTTATATATGTACAATTGCAAACAACTTTAATGCTATTCAAGGTCACAAAAACGTAATAAATCAAGCGGAATCACTTTCAACACATAATTTTTAGTTCTTGTTTTCATATAAACGTAAAAAACCTAAATTTATTTAATAAATTATCGAATATTGCGATTTAGGTTCAATGCCACTTTTCCGCCTTAGTAAGAGAGTAAGTTATTTGTTACATCTGATTTTAAATATTTTGGAAATTATGATAATAACTACGTTCTTTCATACAAAATAATTAAGTAATAATTCTTATTTTAGTTTATTCATAAATAGTCTATCAAATATATTTTATTATCTATTTTATATTAATAATTTTATATTAATTATAATTTTATATAAATTTTATATTAATTATAATTTATTACCTATTTTATATTGTTTGATTTATTAGTAAAATAAAAATACTTTTTAAAAATATGTTTTATTTCATCACTATGTTTTTACTTCTATTCATCTGATAAGCTTTATATCCTTTTTTCTAAGGGTACGCAATAAAGATTTTAAAATGAAATATGCTTTTTTTAATATAAAAACATATATTTACAGCTTAAAAAACTCATTTTTATTGCGTATTTGAGGTAAAATTTCATATAGTAAGCCACACCAACCCGCCATTGCATGTTTGTGTGTCTATCTTTATCTAATCTTAGCGACGGTATTGTTTTCGCAACTTGTGTAAGTGTGATAGATATATGTTTATTTAAAATGTTTAGTAATTTCAAAGCTACGTCGTTGCAGTTGGATAGTTGTTACACTTTTTTCGAAGCGCGATGATGTGGTTTGCTCCTCTAGTTTTGTATAAATCAATACCCGTTTATGCTTACGGCCGTACAGTGAAGCGTTGCCGGGTCTGAGCGTATCCCGCTAATTGATGTTCATAAATGGATGATCTACAATAAAAAATAACGTATAGGGCCGCTGCTTGGGTGTTGCCGGGGCGCTCGTCTGGAGCTAGCGCTGGACGCGGTAGCATGCGGGCTGCCAGCAAAGAGCGAGGAGCTGCACGATCACCTAGCTCATAGCTCCACACATCCATCAGCCCCACCGGAAGGCATGGTGTTGGCAGAGTCCTCTCAGACTCGGCAAGCGGCATTCGCTGATCATGGAGTACGCCGCATGTGTTGGACGTATGAACGCAAACGCATTGCGGCCGTACTATAGGGTGAAAGGGAAAGAAACTGGAGAGATAGTGTGTCGGGCTCGGATGCATAGCTTTTTTGCTGAGCTGGAGCTGTCTATTTCCGACAAGAAACAATACCTGACAGACCGAGTTCGGTAAATCATGCGCTCGAAAATATACGATGATGCCGAATTCAAACGACTGCGGCGTGAGGCTATCTAATCAATAAAATAAAAAAAAATATCGAATAAATCAGCTATTGGGATGCGGCTTCTCAGGCCACAGACTAACATCCACTCGTGGAAGCCCCCATGGATCTTCCAGTTGTGGTTGATTCAGATGATAATTAAATAGTCTCCCACGAACTAGGGCCAATGAGGAGCATATGGGAAGAGGCGAATTCGGAAACGCGCAGCACGTCTCCCGAAAACCGACCGTGACTTCCCCGCAACCACTAAGCAAGCAAAATTGGGCTGTCGTGAGTAAGGGCTCTTAACCCAACGCTGGTGACCTATTTGCAGCCAGCCGGGACCTTTACGAAATATTCACAATGGATTCTTTCCTATAGGTATAACTTGGCGTTATAACTACATCGGCTTGGCGTTACTAAATCTCGGTACCGCAATCATTAATCCGTGTACGAATGTAATTTATTTTTTTATTTTTTTTATTTAACAATTTTAATTATTAAGGTAAACCCTCCATACAATATAAAAGGCCCATATCAGGCAGCGGACTTTGGTATAATGGAGGAAAATACATACCTACATACTTTATATAGGGGATTACATCATCTCTACAACGTAAGGCCTGACGTTCAAAAGGTCAACTTTAGAAGAAAACATTTTGACCTTGACTTTAACTTTGACTGAATTGTATTGTAATGTTTGTTAAATGAGACATGATTACTTAAAATGTGGCCCTGCGGGTGCTTGCGAAAATTAGACGGGCAAAGTCATTAGCCGCCATCAAGCTACTTTTTTACTCTACTGACCTTTCATTTTATGAAGGCCTGGTAGTTTATTTACATTGTATGTTTTTATACAGAATAGTGTGTCAGTCCACCTGATGGTAAGTGGATGCTACGGCCCATAAACATCATCATCTTAAATAATAAAATGGAATGCCCTGTTTCCAGCAAAAAGGGTCTCCGGTTGTCCACACTCACTAAACGAAACACAGCAGCATTAAACTGCTTTTTCACGACAGTATATTGTGAGAACATGACTTTTCCCCGGTCGGGCCAACTTATTTGTGCGATTATAATTATGTTATAGCGTGCTCTAAAACCTTGCTCGTATAATAAAATAATAAAATGTACATTCGCGGTTCACGCCTTCCACAGGTGTTCACGGCGCGAATGTGGAGATTGAATCAGATTATATTTCTTTTACAATCAAAATATTGAGCTGCTACTCAATATTTGTCATTATAATAATTATAATTATTTATTAGGTATTTAAAATAATAATCTTGAGAATACTGAACTAAACTAGGGTTCAGTTTTGCGGTTAGGCTAATATATAATACTATTTCATGATAAACTTGATTTTTTTATTACGATTTCGGTACCGCTGTGTATCGTATAGTAGCGGTATTATGATATCAACTACCCGACATCGTCCCGTGGGTGTCGTAATAGGAGAGAGAGGAAAACATGCCAGGGATAGGTAGCAGACTTATCTCAATAGCAACTAAAAAGAACGGTGGTTGTTACCCCGTCTGCCAAGCGTGGAAATTACGGTAAATATACTATCAGGTAATCAATGAGGTAGGCTATAGGCCAAGTAAGATCTTAGAACTCGGACATGCAACACATATTGTACATTCGAAATACCTTAGTCAATCGCTGCTTTTATAATTGCGGAAACTTTGCAAAAAAAATCACGTGGTAGAGCCATGCTGCAGTTATATTAGTAGTATAGTTGTAGCACGAATGGGTCGGCTCGACTAGGGAAGGACCACGCTCTCACAGAATACCAGCGTGAAATAGTAGCTTAATGCTGCTGTATTTCGTATGGTGAGTGTAGAGAACCGGAGACCCTTTTTACTGGAAACGAGGCATTCCATCTTAGTCCTCACGGGTGACAACGCATCTGCATTTTGATTCGTAATCGAGGATAGATGTGGATGTCTATGGGCCACAGTAACCACTTACCATCAGGTGGGCTGTGTGCTCGTTTGTCACCCTATCCTATAAAAAAAAAACCTAAGGAAGCATTACTTTCAAATAATATAATAATATATATTTTGTGCTATTTTAATTCGTTCATATAAGTAATAAAAATTTAGGCTGTTACCACAATAGCAATGCAGTTATAAGCACAACATCAAGCAGTTTATACTACAAAAAAGAACATTTCTACTAATTGCTTTACCTTGAGTGGCCGTGAGCAGAAGTGTGAAAGAAAAAAATAACAAACTGTTACTGCATTTTCTGGATATCTGTGCAGAGAATAATAACTAAATTTATGTTTAGAACAGTCCGTATATGCCACTGCTGTGAACTGTCCTCCTGTTATTATCAAGAATATTATGGAACAAATAGTCCGCCACGATGCTCCGGTGCATGTTGATGGACTTCATTCACATTTTTTCGATATAATAATGTCCTACAGACCGACTTTCGGTTACGGCGGCCAATCTCAACAGAATTTTAGTGCCCGAGTGTATGCGCAAGCACACGTGCACTCTCTATTCCCTCATGCTCATAGTCCTATGGGACGACAATCTCAATAGACTGAAGAGAGAACAGGCGCAGGACCAACTGTTTTACGTGCTTTCCGAGGCACGAGAGTGAAACGCCGCCAACTATATGACTCCAGGCTGCTACTCAAAAATTCTGCGCAAAAAACCCAATAACTGATTTTGGCTCGACCTGGAATTCGAAGCCAGGACATCTTTTGATCAGCGACCGTGTTAAAGAACATAAGACAAACGAAGCAAACAGTATTTCTCGATATATTTTATAACTAAGACTTTCAGGTTTGCTCAAGATGTTTCACGTCACCGAGCGCGTAGTATTTTAACACTTTTAAATTGCAATTAACAGATTGCTCACCTCATGTCAAATTTACTGCGAGTGCTTAGTTTCTGAGACACCACGGTTCTTTTGTTAAAATACATTAATATTAATTCACTAAAAAAAAAACGTTCATTTTTCGTTATAAAGTATTGTTTTTAAAAGAAAATTTAACAACAATACTTTATAAATGACCAATTAATGTTCATTTTTAGCACGTATATCAGATGCGCTGCGCATAAGTGTTATACACACATAATATATAAAATTTTGCAGCCGTTATACATTGGACTTAAATGGATTTCCGTCTCTTTACTGTCAGTTTACTCATCATTATGATATATTGTTAATACTACGCTGGAATTTATTTTAACTTCTTTTTAACGGCAATCGTAAAAAGCAGCCGCCGTGTGTTTTTGCTGTAATAAATTGCAACCCAGTTTAAAATTGAAAATAAATCAATGTTTGCCACGTTATTTTGTTGGTGAGCACTGAATAAAAAATGAGAAATATATTGAAACTTCCTTATGTTTTATTGTGTGTAATCTCTGAATTTAATTTAACAACTGGGTTGACAAATTAATATAGTCAAGGAGCTGATGACATAAACTTTAAAATAATCACGCCGTTCGGCACATTATGTAAATTAATTTTATTAAAATTAAGTTAATTAAA